ATGTACCCGCTTTGTCTTCAGCATTCGTGTCAGGGTAGGCTGGTGTGCTTCTTCCTTGTGGGTTTTGTTGTTTCTTAGCTAGATGACACCTGCAGTCACTGAAGACAATGGGTGCACAAGCAAGTGTGGTGAAGAAAGCTGATGGTGTCCAGCTACCAAAAGATATAGCACCTGAAGCCTTAAAGACCTGAGATAAACAAGCAGCCATCTAGCTGAGAGACAACAAAACCCACACGGAAGAAGCCCACCAGCCTGTCCCTACTCGATCGCTGAAGACAAAGGGGGTACATTAGCAAAAGTGGTGAAGAAAGCAGATGGTGCCCAGCTATCAAATCATACAGCATCTGCGGTCTTAAAGGCTTGAAGACAAACAGATTCCAACTCTTAATTTTGACAAATTATTAAATTTGAATTCAATTTCATGATATCCAACTTGCCACTAATTGGAACCTAAGTTGAAATGAGATAGAAACATGTAAGTGGGAAAAGAAAAAAAAGAAGATAGAATGAAACATAAAAGAATTTATCAAGGGGCAAAGTGCTGTGATTTTGAGCATTCATTCCACGTGAAGCTGAGGCAAATGCAGGAGGAAAAGGTCCCCACCCCTGCCCCTCCCACCGGCCCACAGTCAGTCTTTCACCCCAGGGCCTCATGACTCCTCTTTCACACTTTCTGATCCCCTGCACACACACACTTGTGGGCCATCTGCACGATTCGCAAGGGCAATTCGAGATTCCCGAAATATGATCCCTGGCTCAGCTCGATGTCCCAGGGACAGTTGTTCACAGTGGAAAAAAAAAACAAACCAGAAAAACCTCCCTCTGGTATTCAGCCCGACTGGCAGCCTCTGCTGAGGAAGGGGGAAATTACAAGGGATTTGGTGGTACCTCATCCTTTTGCTCCACCTGCTCTCTTTCCTCCTGCAGGGAGGCAGCTGCCGGGCCTCAGAGCATGCAATCCTCTGCCCAAGAATGAACAGATCTGCCTATACTCCAGGTGCTTCAGAGGCAAAAGTTGCCCGGAGAACCACAAAGCAGACCCCAGGACAAGCAAAACATTCATGCAGGGCAGACAGCTGCAGCTAAGAATCTAAGTGGAATCAGACTGCAGTATGCTGAGTTGCAAACCCTAACGAAATTTGATTTTTAAAACACACTTGAATGAGATAATCTGTTGAGCCAATTTAAAACAGAAATAATAATAATATATGGAAGGAGAAACAGATGTATTTTTCCCCCTCTACTCTGAACTTCTTGCCATAAGTATAGAAAATGTTAAAGTGTTTTGATGGTAAAGGAGAAAAACACACTCAAGACAAAAATAAATGCATGATTATTAATCCAGAAAAATGAATAGATGCTATTACATGAGTGAAGCTTAAAAGCATTAGGCTAAGTGAAATAAAACCAAAACAAACAAACAACTCCCTGGCCATTGAGTCCCTTCTGACTTATAGCGACTGTACCAGGCAGAGCAGAACAGCTCCTGTGATTTCCCAGGCTGCCACGCCTGATGGGAGCAGACAGTGTCTCCTAGGGAGCCACCAGTGGGTTGGAACTGTTGACCTTGTTTGCAGTTAGTTGACCAACTTGTCACCCACGAGGCCATCAGGGTTCCCTGACACAAAAGGAGAAATGGGAAATATCTAGCACAGGCAAATGCATATTTACAGAGAATAGATAAGTGATTACCACGGGTGGTGATGGCAGAGGCGCGAGGAGGGATTTGATGCTTAACAGGTCTGGAGTTTCTTTTTGAGGCGATACCGTTTGAAGTTTTGAAAAGAAGCAGTGGTGATGACCGCAACAACTTCGTGACTACAATTAATGCCACAGAATTGTTCACTTAGAAATTATTTAAATGGTTAGTTTTGTTGCATGTCTTTTGCCCCCAATAAACTAAAATAAATGTATGGCTCGACAGCTATTGATTCCAGGGGGGAAGAAAAATGAAAACCAAAGATATTAGAATGATCATCAAACTATACCCAAAACCTTTTTCCAATTCTACACACTCCTATTTGCCCCACTTTCCTTATTTCATGAGCCAACTGGCCAGCCCTGCTGCCATGTGGTACTTCACAAGTCTAGAAACCCCAAGAGGAAATTACTCGCCCTCACAAATGGATTGGCTGATTGTCACCATCTCCTTACACCTCTTTCACAGCCAGTTTTGTTGATGGAACAAGTCCGAGAACAATGCAGTAGGAAAATCCCAAACAGAACTGAATCTAAAGACAGAGTCACAAGTAGGTCCAGAGTAACTGGTGGGAGGGTCCCAGGTAGCACTCAGAAAGAAGAGGTCAAGGTTGCAGTTTCCAGTTGGGATTTTGAGTACTCTGAGATTCAATATGAGTTACCTAGAA